TGATAATCGTATCTTCTGACCTAAGACGCTCAGTAATGGATGTTCGTGTTAAAAGAGGCGCAGAGCTATCGACCGATCATCACTTTGTTGTTGGCACGCTGCGCTGTAAGAAATGGAGTACCATACGAAGATCTGGTGGCAGAAGCAACCTGAGAATCAAATGGGAAGCATTGCCTTCGGTGGACACGAGAGAGAAATTTGCAAACAACATCGCACGACGGTTTGAACAGATCCCAGCGATGGCAACTGATGTTGAAACCGAGTGGCAGCTGTTTAAGAGCGGCACTCGATGCTGCCGCCGAATGCAGCGGATTTAAACGGGTTGGCCTCCGTCTGGAAGTCAGAAACGATCTTCATGGTGGATACGAGAGGTACAACTGGCAGTTAAAGAGAAGAAAGCAGCTTTCAAAAAATGGCTTGGAAACAAGGAGCCATCTATACGCGTGCGATATGTCGAGGCACGCAAAGCGGCAGCGAATGCAGTGGCAAAAGCCAAAGCTGATTCCTGGGAGAAGTTCGGTGAGGAGTTGGAGTCGAATTTCCACACGGCAAACAAAGTATTCTGACAGACCTTTCGCCAGCACTGAGAAGGGCAGCCCCAGAGTCTTCAAGGACAGGACTGGACATCCTCTTACCAAGGATGATGACATTTTTCAGCGATGGAGAGAGTACTTTGAGGAACTGCTTAACCCCGTGCGACTGTAGGTACACTCTGTCTAGAGCAGCAACGAACGGATATTACCATTTCTGTAAATGAAATTGCACAAGTTGCGAAACGCTTGAAAAATTCAAAGGCTGCTGAAATTAATAAAGTCCGTCCTGAACTACTCAAGGCATTACGGGAACAAGGCATTCGAACAGAGGATGCCAATAAAACAAGGTCGTTTGCAAACCGCAACCTTCTCGTCTTCACATCTTTTACACCGATACCTTCATCTTTTTGGCAGCTCCTGACTATTCTGTCCATGTGCAACACAAACAGGAAGTGGACAAGACGCAGCCTTGGCAGAGACCAGTGCGAAAGTTGAAGGGTTAAGATTTAACGCCATTTATTTTGACGCAGCACCTGCTATCAGAATACAGTGATTGGATGGCCCTTAGCAATTGGCCATCTATCTTGTATGCTTGAATGTATGAGCAGAGACTGCTGCGTGGGATCCGGTCATAAGCTTTTTCTAGGTCAACAAAATATATGCACACCGGATGGGCGTACATCTACATTTTCTCAACAATCTAGCGCAAGGCAAATATATGATCAGAAATGCTTCGACCGGGCCGGAAGCCACACTGCTCTTCTTGTATCTTGGAGACATTTATTCCTCAACACCTCCTCTTGCCCACCTTTGCGTAGATGTTACCTAGGAGACGCAGTAACCTAGTGCCCCTATAATTGGAGCACTCCTTGCGGTCTTCCTTCTTGAATAGGGGTAGAGCAACTCCAGCTCGCTGGGGTACTTCCCGCACTCAACGCTGTTTGACAGACAAGGAGAAGCCAACACATGTCTTGTTCGCTTAATGCTTTCAGTATTTCAAAGCGGATTTCATCAATTCCAGCAGCCTTTCCTTCTTTGAAGCATTTCACAGCTTGTGTAGTTTCATTTATAGAAATTGTAATATCCGTTCCCTACTGCTCCACAGGCGAGTCTTCCTGCGGTTGCGAGGGAACTCCACCGTTGCCGATCCCAAGTCCGGTTTAGAAAAATGCCGGGTTGAAGACCGTGGCAAGTCTCCGTAGAATTTAACCGTCTGCCACTCATGGTATTGGCGCCACTGAAAATTATGTCGGCTCGGTCGTCGCCCGGGTTACCAAGGGCCGCGCAGGCTGTTGAGGGACTGAGGCAGACTTCGAAAAATCAGCCATCAGAACCACAGCCTGCTCATCGCCCTCTGCCAGTTGGGCGTTTAGCAGCAGAACAACGGCTGACGAGGACCGACGGAAAGATGACAAAGATAC